TTATCAGCTCATGATTTAGTTTCCATAACTCCTATTCCACTTCTTTATTTTATTATTTAAAGAATTATTTAATTTATTTTTTGAAAGAGGAATTAGAGAGAGAGAGAGAGAGAGAGAGAGAGGTCTTCCATTCCACTGGTTCACTTCTCAAATGACTGCAAAGGCCAGAGCTGAGCTGATCCAAAGCCAGGATCTCCAGGTCTCCCAAGTGGCTGCAGGGGCCCAAGGACTTGGGCCATCATCTACTGCCACAGCAGAGAGCTGGATCGGAAGAGGAGCAGCCGGGACCCAAACCAGCGCCCATATGGATGCTGGCACTTCAGGCTGAGGCTTTAACCTGCTATGCCACAGCACCAGCCCCCTACTTCTTCTTTAAACAAGATCTCTTCTAGAGGCCAGTGTTGCGGCATAGATGGTTAAACTACTGTCTGTCACACTGGCATCCCATATGGGCTCCAGTTCCAGCTGCTCCACTTCTGATCCATCTGCCTGCTCATTCTCCTGAGAAAGCAGTGGAAGATGGCTCAAATACTTGGGCCCTTTCCACCCATGAAAGAGACCCAGATGAAGCTCCTGGCTCTTGACTTCAGTCTGCTCAGCACTGGCTGTTATAGCCATTTGGTGAGTGAACCAGCAAATGTAAGATCTCTCTCTCTCTCTCTCTCTCTCTCTTTCTCTCCCTCTCTCTTTCTTTCAAATAAATAAAGTTTTTTTTTTAAGTTTTAAAAGAACCTTCTCTAGTTAATAGTAGTATATACTGACTGTTCCTTCTTCAGTCAATGGGCTACCCCTTTGTCTCCCCATGACCAGCTCTTTTTCATTCAGAAATTTTTTTTTCATATCACACATGATGACATAGCAACCCAGTGACATTCCCTTTATAACTTTATTCTGCTTTGATTATCAGGTAGCATTCTTCCTATGTCATTTTCCTTTTTTTATTTGCTTATGATTTATTTCCTCCTATAAGATGATTTTAACCTTGGTTTCAATTTATCTCTAGAACGTGGTATACAATAGGTGCTTCATTAATGTTCCTTGAATTAATAAAGAAATTAATTGGTTAAGCTATCCTTGATATTTTCCTTTTCTTACCATATCCAAGACACTAGAAATTATATTTATTTTAATTTAAATAGCTAGCAAATCTGTTCATTCTTCTCCATCCTTTCATGATCTCTGCATTCAGCAAAGCTCTTCAAATTCATATTCCTGAGCAATCACTTATATTCTTTTGAAAACAAGTACAGTTATGATACCATCTTGCTTATAATTATTCAATAGCTTCCCCTTTCCCTAATATAGTGACCAAAAATCATAAGTTATATTGCAATACAAAATTATGTAACTCTAGAGATTCTTCCAAAGTTCATATGGTACTCTTTTTTTTTCTGGTCTTAAAAATTATCAATGTCATCTCCCTCTCTGCCCCAACACAGATACTCCACAATTCTGATATTTACTTTATCCATGCTGTGATGGAGTCTAGTATCAGTAGTTTAAAGGATCAGTATGTAATACTAATGTACGGCCAGCACTGAAATCATATCCTTCTTTCACCTGCTTTAGCTACAATTCATCTTTTAAATCTCAATTCAAAGTTTATACTTTTTAAATTTTACTTCTTTCCTTTCTTGTAGTCTCCTTCTAGTCTTCAGTGTCCTTGTTAGAAATTATTCTAGGGGCAGGCATTGGTGGAGCAGTTAACACACCAAATGGGATGCCCATATCAGAGTGCATGAGTTGGAGTTCCCACTCTGCTTTTAATGCAGCTTCACTGGGAAGGAACAGATATTAGCTAAAATATTTGGGTTTCTGAAAACCATGTGGAGACCTAGATTGAGTTTCAGGCTCCTGGGTTCATCTTGGTCCATCCCCAGCTTTTGTGGCCATTTGGGGAGTAAACCAGTGGATGAAAATACACATTCTTTCTTTGCTTCTCTCTCTCTCTCAATGTTGCTTTACCTTTCCAGTAACTAATTATTTTTAAATAAGAGAAACCATTCTAGACCTATTGACTGTTCTTAGGTCAATTATCACAGGACATTATAAAGTATTACAAACAGTATATTAGAGGATAAAAATTTTAAATATTATATCAAAAATAGATATTTAGGATTGCCTTAGATCAGTTGATCCTTATTGTGTAGTCACGGAAATATTCTCTGTTGAGCAAGTATAGTCAAGTGAAAAGAGTGGAATGAGTTTACCTTTTTAACAAATTCACAGCACTCTGCCTTGTTTGGGCAGGCAGGGTTACTTAGAGAAGTTTGGATCAAATTTCATATGGCTTCTAGGGCCCTTTTAGTAGGGAATATATAAAAATTCTTCATCTCAGCTTCAAAATTAGTATGATATACTCTGGAGAACTGGGAATATTCTTAACACTTTCTACTGTCAGGGAAATCATTTATCTCAACAGAAAGGGAGACACCTGAGAGCAAAGAAGCTCCGTGACTGGTAACTTATGTTCTGCATAGAGATTACAGTTCTTGGGGATAGGTGGTTGCAATAAAATATTCATCTGAGTTTGAATACACTTCCTGACCCAGCTGTCCTGGTTTTCTACACAACTGTGGGGGAACACATCCTAAGAATGTGAATGTTAACTAAAAGGATGAAACATTTCTCTGGGAATAACCACAGACAAATGGACACTTCTCTGTTGTCAGGCAATCCAAACAAAAATAACTTTTGGAAGTGACTGAAGCTTGAGAGCTCAGTCCCCTTGGAAAGCAAGGAAAGATCCAGGATTATTCTTACAAAAAGTAGAGAGAACGGGGGGAAAACTCCCCCTACACACCAAAAAAAAAAAAAAAAAGAGAGAGAGAGAGAGAGAATCTGGACTCTCTCCCCAGGAAACTAGGTAGAAGCTCTGAGACATATCCACGACAAATAAATAATTTTCACGTCTAACACCTAAGCTGTGAATTCAATGAGGCAGTCTCAGAGTCTGCTTTACTTATTGGAATCCCACAGCAGCTTGCTCAGTACTTGCCAAAGTTATCTGTTGAATGAATGAATAATTGGAAATAAGTCAGCAAAATAATTACTAGTATTAAGTTAGAATACCTGTATAAACTTCTCTGAGAGCAGATTAGGAAATGATTAATTCTATTTGTATGGAGAAGAAATCATAGGAAAATCCAATGAATAAAAGCCTGTCACAAGACTGAGTTCATGCATTTGTTTTCAGTAAACATCTCTTGATTTAATTAATTATCAGCAGGAGGGGCTTTTTGGATTAAGCTTTCCAGAGAAGCATACAAAAGAAACAATAAAGAAGTCAACAGGAAACTGAAGTCAGAATTTTATTTGTGTAATTTTGGAACATTAGGCAGTGTATGAATATTTTTCTCCTTTCAATGATACAAACCATTACATGTTTGTATTTTATACTTATTAAAAAATTTTCAATAAATATAAATGATTTATTTTTCTAGAAGCACCTCAAGATACACTTCAGAACTCAATGCATGTTCCTCAGAAAATGACGCTGGCATATGAGAGAGAAAGGGAGTTGTAAAGACATATCAAAGTGCCTATGAACACTCTGACCAGTGCCATCAGCAAATTTCCTAGATATATATCATATAACTCATCAGGATTTTTTTCTTAATTTAGTGCTTCCAATTTTTTTTTTTTTTTTGACAGGCAGAGTGGACAGTGAGAGAGAGAGACAGAGAGAAAGGTCTTCCTTTGCCATTGGTTCACCCTCCAATGGCCACCGTGGCCGGCGCACCGCACTGATCCGATGGCAGGAGCCAGGTACTACCCTGGTCTTCCATGGGGTGCAGGGCCCAAGGACTTGGGCCATCCTCCACTGCACTCCAGGGCCACAGCAGAGAGCTGGCCTGGAAGAGGGGCAACCGGGACAGAATCTGGTGCCCCGACCGGGACTAGAACCCGGTGTGCCGGCGCCGCAAGGCGGAGGATTAGCCTAGTGAGCCGCAGCGCCGGCCAGTGCTTCCAATTTTTAAAAGTCTAACTAACCCCAAGCAGCAGTAATTTAGGCATCTCTCAAATTGTTAAATATTTTTTTCTTTCAATAGGGGAATGGTTAAATAAATTCCAAAGATTAATACTCTGCACCTGTTAAAATGTGGAGCAGCTTCTAAATATGATGACAGTCTAAGCTATTGATAGCATATTGCCAAATTCCAGAATAGTACAGGTATTTCATAAATATCATGACTGATTCTGTGTAACAAATGCGCATGAGTTTTGGCATACGTAGAAAATACACTGAGGGGCAAGGAGCAGGATAAAGTCAAGCTGTTTGCAGTCACCAAAGAGAAGGGCATGACTAGGAAGATGGTATATGTGCTCTCTTTATTTTATGCATTTCTATGCTGTTAATATTTTACATCAGACCATTTTCTTTCTGTAATGTGCCAAATACAGGCTTTATAAGTCCTTAAAACATTTAACTAAAATAACAAGAGTGATATTTTTGTATAATAGAACTCTGAAGGTTATGCTTTTTCCTCTTTTCTGATTTTATATTCTTTCTAGTGACTTTGACTTTGATACTTTTATTATTTCACTAGAAAAATCTTTAATGCATTTTTAAAAAAGAATAAAGATTGGAAAGAAAATCTTTTTCCAACTCCAGCATTAAAATACAAATGTTGTTTAGCAAACTCTTTTCTTTAATATTTTGTTTTTATTTTCTTTTTTTAACTTTTATTTAATGAATATAAATTTCCAAAGTTGTTTTTATTTTCATAAATTTTTCTATTTTACAAAGGTACATAATTATTCTTTCAGTTTTTAATATTGAAAAATTGCCATATCCTTTAAAACTATTTAAAATATTCAGAAATGTGTAGAATTTATATTTAAATGGGACTCTGCATATGAATTTATGCTACATTTGGAGAAAACCACATACATTTTATAATGCCGTGTGGGGAATAATTTCCATAATAAAATGCAAGTGCTTTTACCTGCTCCAGAAATCACACCATAACTAGTAATATGAGCATTAAAGCACTTACCTCCTTCTCCAACATCAAGCCCTCTGCTCTGAGGTTCTTTTCAAATGTGTTTCTTTTGTCATATTGTATATTTGTCTTTCTGTAAACCAGGATGTAGTCAATTCGTTTTTTGCCATCTTTGAATAGAAGTCCACTGGATGCTATGTAATTCATGTCATTCTGCAAATAAAGCAATGATTTTTAACAGTGTGGATTAGAAACATACACATACTTTGGCTATGGTCACCTTCATTTGGATCTTTACAACCCAATGTTGAAAGATGTATTTTTATATTACAATTAAGAGATATGGAACAATAATTAATGAAATTTTGCAGTCTGCTATAGGAGACAAATGAGCAAGAGATGTTACCAGCATCTGAAATTTGGGAGTCTAATTCTTGAAATCAAATTTGTTGATGCTGGCATCAAGACACATTCAAGTGTGTTTTATTTAATTAGGATCTATAAAAATAATATCAGCTAACATGTGTTGGGTATTTATTAAATATTACACCCAGACTTTTTTACTAACTTCTTTACTACTCACAACTTGCATTTCATAGACAAAGACCTTAAAGCTGAAAGAACATTAAATATTCAGAACTGAAACCAACACAATTTTGTTTGCTAAATAGAATCAAACCAGGTATGCTTTCCTAAACATGTGTTCAACAATATTAAGTCATGTAATACCTCTTTTTTAAAAAAAGATTATTTTTTTTTTAAATCAGAGTTACAGACAAAGAAGAGGGGGAGAGACAGAGACAGGGATTTTTTTCATCCTCTGGTTCACTCCCCAGATGGCTGTAACAGCCAAAGCTGAGCCAGGAGATAGCCAGAGCTAAGAGCTTCATCCAGGTCTCCCACATGGGTGGCAGGAGTCCATACACTCTGGCCATAATTCACTGCTTTTCACAAGCCATTAAGAAGCCAGGACACAAACTGGCGCCCTTATGTGATACTGGTGTCTGAGATGGAGGCATTACCCACTAAACCGCAATGCCGGCCTGTGTGATACCTCTTGAGCTAATTGCTTCAGGAAATATTTGCTCTCAAGATATAAGACTGAGAACCAACTGAAGCAGCTTGCTTCTCAAAACTATTAGCTTGCTTATCAAAACTGCTTTAGAATATTATCTTATCAAAACTACTTTAGAATATTCACTTTGCTATCCCCATCAACCCAACCTACATTTTGTAGGGTCTGCTCAGTTTTCAACTGAATTCCTGCCTTTTAAAAGACCCACATTAAAATTTCCCAGTCTAGGTCCTTATTATCCTTCACAAACCCTTCCCTAGCTGCATTCTCTTGAAATACAGCTGCTAAGGCTCTCCAGTTCATACTCTTATATGCTATAACCTAAATAAAGCTAGTTTAATGTATCAACAGATCTTCCTGAATCTCGAGAATATGTAAAAAATATTTTCTTATCATCTGGTGAGTTTTTAGTTAATATTAGTCAATGGTATCTCAAATGAGCCTGACTAGGACACATATGCAACTTCAGGTAAAAGAGCTACGGACCAAAGTAATCTGGTACTCAAGGAGACTGGTACACAAGGAGAGACTGAAGATTCGTTCAGGTGAAACAACAGGGGGTGTCTCCAAGAATGACATCCCACAGGCACACATCAGTGTTTTAGGAGCCCATAGTGGGCTACAGCTTTTCAGAGAAAATAGGTTCAAGCATATGAAGTCACAGTACTAGCAATTCCTTGGCTCAAAAACAAGAAGGCATTAAACTGCTAGTTTCTTTAACCAGTGGAAATGTTTTGAAATTTCCAGTATTATTTCATGGAGCATCACAATAAAACTAAGGACAGAGATAGCAGGGAATTGTAACTGCATAATAATGATAATGACAACAATGCCTGCCAATTATTGAACATCTATTATGTGTCAGACATTGTGCCAAATGTTTCATAATGTAGTTTAATTTCATCCTCATAGTCCTTTGAAGTAGAAATCAACATGAATACACAGATGTCATGAAAAAAAATAGTGAGGTTAGAAATGTCACCTATTTGACACTTTAACTGCTGATCTTGGCCACTACTTCAAAAAAGACGAAAAGGGATATACAAATAGACATTCCTAAGGCTGGGACACAGGGTCAGGGCATTACTCTGGCCTACACCAAAGGCTACTCTTGTTAAGAAGGGCAGTGGGTGCTTAGTTTTCTTGTCTGTGTGGCCCCTGCAGCTCACTGTAAAAGTCAAGCAATGAACTAGGTTAGTCTGACTTTCCTCTATCATTTGGGTGGCCAACAGGTGGTTTAAGCTCATGAGGCCAAGTGTCATTGTTCTTGGCTTACGTTTCTTAAACCTATTCTATTGGTTAGGCAAAGAGTGAAAACTCATCCATATTAGTTTCTAGTATGTGTTTATTTTTCACTTTCTTCATCCTTTTAGGTGACATTTAGCATCAAGTTAGGAGATGGTAGTCTAGATGTTGTTAGTCCAATGCCATGATTTATCCAAATGTTCTAGCTTTATGCTCCTTATTAGAAAAAAAAGTCCAAAGCCTTTGTATATAATTAAAACTTATTTTAGAATTACAGCCATTGTCTAATAGCTCTTATTACAAACCCTACTAATTAGAGAGATAAAATAATTTTCAAGGTTTTCTTTTTCATTAAAATAAAGGAGAAACAATATTGTCAAGAAAGTCACATATTTACAACAAAACCAATTCCTGTTAAAAGCAAACAAAGTAAATTAAACACTGTGGTTCAGAAGAAATTCCACACAGGGTGGAAATCCATTAAGTGCTGCTAGAATGATTAAAATTCTGGTTTCTCTCTCAGACAAATTTTTCATTTTAAAATGGTACCTATTAGAATGTTTTAATTAAAAAGTATATTAAGTGCACATATTTATTTCTAATGTATCCAACTTAAATATGCCAGAAATATAAATAATTATATTCTCCCATATAAATTATCTTTAATTTGAGTGTTAGGAATGTCAAAAACATGACATTAATGCTATGGAATGGCCTTCAGTGTCATTGAGAACCTTGTCAGAGACAGAGAGAGAGAGAAATAGAGATCATCCATCTGCTTGCTCACTCCCTAAATGGCTGCAATAGTTGGAGGTGGAGTCCAAAGCCAGGAGCCAAGAGCTTCCTCCGAGTCACTCTCATGGGTGCAGAGGCCCAAGGACTTGGGCCATCCTCTACTGCTTTCCCAGGCACATTTGCTGGGAGCTGGATTGGAAGTGGATCAGGCAGGACTCAAACTAGTGCCCATATGAGATGCCAGCACTGCAGATGGTGGCTTAACCTGCTAGGCCACAATGCCCAGACCTTACTGCCTCCTTAGCACAACGTCAACCCCTTACAATGTTCATGTGATATTCAGAAATGCTAATTCCCCGTAAATCAATAACGCTGGAGTACTTATTTCACATAGTCGGGTTCTCTAAGTGATCTTGTTATAACCTGGCAAAACAAAGTTCTAATTGACAAAATAATAACTAATAAACTTATATAAAGAAATAATAGTTAATATAGGCTAAGCAGAAACAAAGTGATATTTCAAGTATTTTGTATATGCTAATCCATTTTATGCTCATAAAAACTGACAGATCAATATTACTTTCCCATTTCACAGATGCTGAAAGTGAGCCAGTTACTCATATATTTATGATATTAAGTTAAATAATTCAATATTATTACAAGGTGAGAAACAAGCAACGTGCATCGATGGGGTGTATCCTCTCTCTAATATTTTGTCATTGAACTTGTATATACAACATTCAATATATGTATGTTGAATGAAAGGATACATACATGTCAGAGGAAAAATTATGTATTATAGTCATGCTCTTTACTAGGAAGATGACAATGATGATGATGATATATTATTAATTAAGAATATACAGGAAAAGGAAGAAATTCTAAAAGAGGTGCCTTTGGTATAGCCAGGGAAGTTTACAAAAAGTTCTTTAGAAAATATAGCTTCTTGGGGCTGGCGCTGTGGCGCAGCGGGTTAAAGCCCTGGCCTGCAAGTGCTGGCATCCCACATAGGCGCCAGATCTAGTCCTGGCTGCTACTCTTCCAATCCAGCTCTCTGCTATGGCCTGGAAAAGCAGTGGAATTCTGGCTGGCGCCACGGCTCACTAGGCTAATCCTCCATCTTATGGCACCGGCACACCGGGTTCTAGTCCCGGTTAGGGCACCGGATTCTGTCCCAGTTGCCCCTCTTCCAGGCCAACTCTCTGCTGTGGCCAGGGAGTGCAGTGGAGCATGGCCCAAGTGCTTGGGTCCTGCACCCCATGGGAGCCCAGGAGAAGCACCTGGCTCCTGCCATCGGATCAGCACAGTGCGCCAGCCGCGGCGGCCATTGGAGGGTGAACCAACGGCAAAGGAAGACCTTTCTCTCTGTCTCTCTCTCTCACTGTCCACTCTGCCTGTCAAAAAAAAAAAAAAAAAAAAAAAAAAAAAAAGAAAAGAAAAATATTAAGATACTCCCTTCTTTTGGCTATGGATTCAAAACTGATGAAAGGTGCACAGCTGCCTAAAAAGAAGGGGAAGCTCAACACAGAAAGGCCAAATTATGCAAGGGCAGGTTGAATTTATTTGCATTTTTTTTCAGGTCAAAATGAAAATGTCATCAAAATAGTAGAACACAGAAAAGCATCTCTGAGACATGGCCCAGATCATTACCTTGGCCAAAGGTTACTGTTTCAGTTGAATATTTAACTTGAACTGGCAAACCTCCAGATCAAAGTATCAATGTTTCTGGCACTGAAACACTGCTTAGAATAACCATCAGTGTCCTTGGCTATACACAGAGTAATTAGGAAAAGTCACACATATTCCAAATCAAACTATTCTAAACTATTAGTCATTAATTATTAATCATATAGTCTGAGAAGGCAGAGAATAAAATCTCCCATATCTTTCACAGCAAGGTGAACTTAACTTGATGAGAAATGTTATTGGATTCTGTAAAAAAAGATGAGCTCTGGCCTATGTTCTGTAAATTTGCAGAAAATTACCTTTCATGACCCAGCAGACCAACATTCTCCTATCTTTCCCCTTAATGTTCTGTCAATAAGGCGAGAATCTCATGAGACACAGAATGGGTAAGAAGGATTGTCAAACAGCTAAATTTGCTAATGCCATTTATCTCATAAAATTATTATACTTGTTACAAATAATCTACTCAGGG